TTATAGCATTTTTTTTTTTTTTTTTGGTTTTTCGAGACAGGGTTTCTCTGTGTTTCTTTGCACCTTTCCTGGGACTCACTTTGTAGCCCAGGCTGGCCTCGAACTCACAGAGATCTGCCTGGCTCTGCCTCCCGAGTGCTGGGATTAAAGGTGTGTGCCACCACTGCCCGGCTTCATCAGCGTTTTTTAAAATAATTTATTTAAATTTATTTTATGTGCATTGGTGTGAAGGTGTCAGATCCCCTGCAACTGGAGTTACACACAGTTGTGAGCTGCCATGTGGGTGCTGGGAATTGAACCCAGATCCTCTGGAAGAGCAGCCAGTGCTCTTAACCCCTGAGCCATCTCTCCAGCCCCTCATTAGTGTTCTTGTAAAGAGGGTACATAGTTGACACTCAGAGACCACCTGAGTACTTGGTGCTATATAAATGATGTAAGTCACGTAAGTCTACAAGCATGCTCTTCTTATCTGGAAAGTGACCTCATTCCGTCATCTTTCTTTGGGTGGCATGCTTGCCTTTTCCCATTGCTCTGTTTTCCAGCCTCCCTTTGGCCGTAGATTCAGATTTAGTGCAGGCATCTGAAGAGAGAGCATGGTTATATTGGTCGTCAGCTGGCTTCGGGTGATAGAGTGGGATTGTAAGCAGCAGTGGTCTCAAGAATTGATCAGTTTCTCCAACGTATCTAGTCACCTGGATGTCCAATTACGAGCAAATAAAGTTGAGGCTCTTCTGGGTTCATGCTGTAGCAGGACCCAGCAAGTTGAAGGTGTTGGGAAGTTTTTCTGAGTCTGGGCAGGAGAGATTGGCATCATGGGAGAAAGAGTTGGGGAAATTCAGGACTTGATATGGGCTTTAAGGAGGGATGAGTGACCATAAGACCATAAGGAACCGTGGCCTGGACTTGAAGACGACATCCTTTGCTCTCCAAGGTCGGCTCTCCCACAGTGAAGAGGGTGTGTAGGGAAAGGCAGTGAGGAGGATTCGGGATATTGGGAGAAGTGAAATCTCAGTAGCTACTCTTCGAGGCCCTTTAAATACAGAGGGTCCCGAAACATCTAACGTAACTGGGGAAGACAGTTAAAACTGCTGTGACATGTTATACTGTCAACAACTGCCTGACCTCCATTCTTGTAGCTAAATCCAAGGCTTCAGCTCCTCAGCTTCTACCTACTGCTCTTGGTGACAGGGTATCACCATGCCTGCTCTGAGTAGCTTCACATGAGTATATCTTGCTATCAGCAGTTCTAAGGGTCCCAGGGTCTCCAGAACTTTGGGCCACATTCCCTTATAGGTTATTGAAAATTTTTGACCTAGCATCCCATCCTGATCACTTTGCTTTGGCAGGTTGAAGAGATCACATGTAATAAACACAGTAATTTATGCTGGAGGGGTGATTCAGTAGGATAGCTTTGTGAGCTCTGGAGATGAGAAAGGGACTCCCAATTGGGCTGCTTAATTAGAATCTGATGGTTCCAGAATGATGACTGGAGAGGAAATGTGAAGGGAAACACCTGTGGTCAGAATCCCTTAAGAGGACAGGTTCTAGGGAGCTTTCCCTAACCTTTGGCCCCTAGAGAGTCTGTGGCTGTGAGATCTTCAGGAGGAATGGTAAGGGAACCAGAGATGAAGCCTGAGCTC